ATCAAATCGAAATGGATTCAAGACTTAAATGTAAGACCTGAAACTGTAAAACTACTAGAAGAAAAACTTAAGAGTTTTGCTCCATGACTTGGGTCTTGAAAGTGATTATGTGCATACATTCCCCAAAGCATAGACGACAAAAGCAAAAAATAGACAAAGGGGATTGAGTCAAATTAAAAGCTTCTGCACAGCAAAGGAAACAATCAACAGAAGGAAGAGAAAACCTACAGAATGGGACAGAGTATTTGCAGCCATACACCTGATAAGAGGTTAGTATCCCCAAGACATAAGGAACTCAACTCAGTAGCAAAAAAACAAATAATTTAAAAATGAGTAAAACATCTGAATAGACTCTTCTCAAAAGAAAACATGCAAATGGCCAAGGTGTGTTTGAAAAATGTTCAACATCACCAATCAGGGAAAGGCAAATTGCAACCACAGTAGGGGAGGGAGCACCTCACACCTGTTAGAATGGCTACTAACAAAAAAGATGAAAGATCAGTGTGGGCAGGATGGTGAAGAAAAAGGAGTCCTCGCATCTGTTGGTGGGAGAATAAATCCATGAAGCCAGAATGGAAAACATTACGAAGGTGCCTCTGCGGGCCCTGGGTGGGGGCGGGATTTTATCCTCAGTACCCTGGCAGCCTTGGAAGGCAGTAAGTGGGGCATGCCGGGTCCTGTTTATGCTGGCGCTCACTCTGGTCTTGGGTAAGAGAGGGGGTGTGAGTGGGGAGAAGATTGAAAGCAGGAGGCTCCAGGAGGCATGGAAGTGGTCCAGCCACAGGTAGAGGTTCAGCACTCAGGACCAGGGTAGGGGCAGGCGGTGGAGAGAAGGAGATGGATTTGGGAAATGGATTTGGAAAATCAACAGTCCATGGAATGGATACAGGATCTGGGTGGATAATGTGGTGGGTGATCAGGGACAGGCTTGGAGGGTGGGACCAGGGGTGTTCATAAGAACTTCCATTTGGGACATGCAATTGGAGGGTCTGAGAGACATGGAGAGATTAGCTCAAGCCGGAGCTGGATGTATGGAGACGTTGGCATGATGGAGCTTGCCAGGTCCCGCCGAGCAGGATGGGATGGGATGTCAGGTCACCCAGCCAAATCCTGGCTCGTCCCTTAATCAACTCTGAGACCTGGGTCATTCCCTGTCCTCAGTTTCCCCATCTCTGGAGTGAGTCTTCTAATAGCACTTAGATCACCAGCTTGTTGTGATATTTGTATGAGTTAATACACAGAAAGAGCTGAGGTTTCAGTAATAAGTATTCAATAAATGTCAACTTCTCGTAATAACAATTATCATCATCAGCTTAGCTGCAGTAATTTTTTTGCCATTTGTCTATTTCTAATTAAAATCAAGGACCTGTGAGGCTGGTAAACACTTCTGATTTTCTTGGATTTATCTGTTTATGAACCTGTGAGCTCTGAACAGAGGATCGGTCTCCCTCCCCCAGGGCTCCTCAGCACGAGGCCTGGTGCACAGTAGGTGCTCAGTAATGTTTACCCAGTCACGTGGAAGTAGCCTGACTGCAGGGGGAGAAAAGCTTACTGGAATGAGTCCATGGAGCATTGATGCCATCACAAGGGACTCAGGAGACAGACAAAAAAGAGGAAATGACAGGAAGGGTTTTTCCGTGACAGTGACAGTTGATAGCATCTTTGTCCCAAGATGGAGCTCTGGCTTCCATAACGCAGCCTCTTCCAGATTGAGTAGCAGTCTGTTGGGAGAAAGGTTGTCCCTGGAGGGAAAGGGGAAGTACTGGAGAATGATATTGGCCAAGTGATATCGTCATATACTGTGTGTGTGTGTGCTAATATGGAACAACAGATCACACTGTTACATGTGACCCATAATGCACCGATAACAATATGGAAAAATAAATAAAGATGAGATGGAAAATTAAATAAATACAATAAAAATTGGTGGAGGGGGCAGGAGGTTGTTCCTGCAGTGTGTCAAGTCTGATAGCTCTCCAAGATTTGGGCACACACACACACACCAGTGTGAGGTACAGATACTTCAATACAACACACACAGGCTCCACCTTACCTTTCCCAGAGTCCTCTGCGATGGAGAGGATCTTGCCCTGTTACTCTTCAGCCATCATTAAGGACCATTGGTCCCTTGAATTAAGGCTTCTGCCCCACCAAGGATCCCTCCCCTCTGGAGACAGGCAGACACTTTGGAGGGATCCAGGGTTTCTCTGTGTATTCTTCCTGGGAGATAGTTCTGCCTTTTCCCAAATAAAAGATGGGACCGCCAGTTAATTTCAGACACAGTGGATCACGTTTTAGTATAAGTGTGTCCCGTGCAATATTTCTTTGGTATTTTTTAAATTGCTTGATCTGGTAACCCTAGCTGCAGGAGACCCAAATTCAAAACCTCCGTGAGTAAGCCAAGAAGCCCTGAGGCACAGCCCGGTCTGTGCCCTAGAAGCTTATGTCTTGGTTGCTGATGCCATGTCTGAAGCCAGGCCTGTGGTCCGATAGTCCTTCCCACCTTGACCCAGGTGGCCTCCTGGAGACCCTGCCAGCAATGTTGGGGTGGTTGACTCTCCTACCTGCCACGGAAAGGCCTTGATCCTGGAGTCCAGGTCCTGGCCAGTTGTAAGCTCCCCAATACTCTTCATTGTCCCTCCCAGGGCTCTCATACAAATGGACCCCGGGAGGCCTGGCTGGACGCCCATTTCCTGAAGTGTGGATGCAGGTTAGATAGACCCCACCCATCTCAACAGCAGGCCTCGGGTCTCAGGGCCCTGTGTCTATCTGCTCCGCATCGGCTCCCCCTGGTGGCCAAAAGCCCGCTCCTCGGGTCTGGCATCTCCTCCAGCAGGGTCCCTTTTCTGGGACCTCCTTCTGCCCAAGGCTCCACAGCCGGGCAGGGATGAATGGTAGCCAGGTAGCCAGGACCTGCAGCAGGCCAAGGGCAATCGCCTCCGTCCACTTCCCAGGCTCTCTGGGTGGCTCAGCCCCAGATCCCGGCCTGACTGGTGAGTGGGACCCTCCGTGCCATCAACGCTCTGGAGGATCAGCCCCTCCCATGTCCTCCAGGATGAAAAAGAAGGTGGCGGCCCACTGGCTTCCTGCCACCACAAGCAGGGTAGGTTCAGGCAGGCACCCTTACAACCAGCCTGGAGTGTGAACGTCTGGCCTCTTTGCTCAGCTCCCCGCCTCTGACAGCAAGCAGAGGGGATTTGAAGAGGTCAGGGTCAGCTCCAGCTCCTGCTGACACAGTGGGCGTCAGCTGGCCTCTGGGCCAGCCTGAGTCTGAGCAGCAGGCACCCTGCAGGGTGGAAGGCAGAACCTCGCGCTCAGTGCCAGCGCAGCACCCCTGCCCTCCCTCGGCCCCTGCACTCTCTGCCTGGTGGGCGCGGCTCTGCTCAGCGACTCACTCAGCACTGACCCATCTCCTGCTTTCTCTCCCATCCTTCCTGCCTCTGAGGACTGCCGGCCAGCCATGTCCCTCTGCCTGCTCAGCCACCCTCACTGGCCTTTGAAGATAAAGCCTGAGCCTTGTGGACTAAGCAGAGGTCCCCTGGCATCTTGCCCCTGCCACCGTCGGCTCTGGCACTCTCTGCCCAGAAGCACTGAATCTCCACGGTGACCCTCACTCTGCCTGCCACGTCCCCCCTCCAGACTTTGCCCCTCTCTTCCCCAGTCCCCTTAAGGCACAGCTCAGGGTCAACTCTCCCAGGAAGTGTGGCTGGATCCCCTGGACTCTGGTCCAACTTCCTCATCTCCCCACAGTGCACTTGCCCTGGGGCAGTGCCTGTCTCTGAGCCCTCAACTCTTGCGTTTGCCACATTGAATGACAACAGCCCGTGCCTGCATCCCCTCTCCTTCCAGGGAGTGGGCTCCTAGAGGAGGGGCAGTGACCTGTTTTCCTTTGTGTTCTCAGCACTTAGAGCAGAATTTGATACAAGCTTAATAAATGCACAGTTATTTAATAATTAATTAGTGGATTCATTCTCCAGGAGAAGGAAGTGACATCCTTTATAACCAGAATTTGTCACCAGTTTGATGACCCTCCCCACCCCCTCCTTAGCCTCGTTCTCCTGCCATTCCACCAGCTGACAGTTTCAATGCACCTTGTCAAATAGGCTCTTGAGTCGTTTCACAGGTTCTCGTTTTGTTCTTGGAAGGTCGGGAACACCCATTCTGTGTCCATTCAACTCGCATTCCTGAGCACCCCACGTGCCGTGTGCCCACTGGCACTGGGATGGAGAGAGATGTAGACAAGGTCCCTACTCTCAGAACTCCCCAGCCTAGTGTGAGGAGCAGACAGGAGAATGGGTGAACAGCAGATGCTGACTGGGGACAGTGTCACATAGTAGATACACAGGCCCGCTCTTCACACGGACTACCCCGGTCCAGATCCCAGCTCTGCCACCTGCAGACCACATGGCCTTGGGAAGGCCCCTTACATGCTTCTGTTGCCCCAGGTTTAAAGAGAGGTAATGACAGTATCCAACTCTGGTTTTATGGGCATTCATTGAATTTTTTCTCTCCAACAGTTTAGCAGAGCGCCTACCCATGTAGACATTCAGTAAATATTCTCCATATGATTCTTAGGCCAGTGTACTGCAGGAGCCCAGAGGCGGTGGAGCATGCCTGTCATCCAAGCAGCTCTGGAAGCTGAGGCAGGAGGATCACCAGTTCAAAGCCAGCCCCAGCAAAAGCAAGGCCCTAAGCGACTCAGTGAGACCCTGTCTCTAAATAAAATACAAAATCGGGCTGGGATGTGGCTCAGTGGTTAAGTGCTCCTAAATTCAATCCCCAGTACACACACACACACACACACACACACACACAGGATGGCAGCAGTTATGAAGGACAAAGATCAGGATCAGGAGGAAGTCTTTTTCAGGGCAGCCTAGGAACTGGCTAGTTACATGAAAAGCAATGCAAGGGCCTCGTGCTCCCCAAGGAGTTTGCTGGGCAAGGACCAGGCCCCCGGGAAGCTGCCACACCCCCATGACCTTCTCTTCCTCCTTCAGGGCAGACGACTGCTTCTGCGCTTCTCGGAAGCTGGATGCGGTGGCCATCGAAGCCAAGTTCAAGCAGGACCTGGGTTTTCGGATGCTGAACTGCGGGCGGACGGACCTTGTGAAGCAGGCGGTGTCTCTGCTGGGGCCTGATGGGATCAACACCATGAGTGAACAGGTACAGGCTCCAGGGGTCTGAGCCAACGCCACCGCCTCCAGCACCATCCCACAGCCAGATGGAAACAGCCGTCGCTGGGTTGCGGCGCCCCCTGCTGGCCGCTTAGGTTGCCCTTTTTTAAAAGGTTTTTTTTTTTTTATGTATATATAGGGTTTTTTTTGGTTCTGCCTGTCTGCTACTGCACAGGACACATCCAGGCTGGTGTCACCAAACTTTTAGACTATACTGAAGAGACACAGTCAGTCTGTAGACCCTAAGAGGCAGCTCAGAAATAGGCAGCATCCCCTCTCCACCACCAAAATCCTGAAACTGGTACAGGGAGAGTGGCTGGTGTCTCTCACTCAAGGAGATGCCCCGCGAGGGGAAATGTCAGGGACAGAGAAACAAGCAGCAGTGAATTCCAACGGGAAGTGACTAGGGACAAATGGGGTTGCTTTGCATGGGCAGTTCACACAGTGAGTTCCAGGAGGGGAGGGCAGGGATGATTTATTTAATTACAGCTAACAGTTTTCTCGAGAAATACTAAGTCTCCCTGACACACAACAAACACATACTTCCATTATTTAAAAATTATATTCTATCTCACTTTTTTGACATTTTACATTAAAGATAATATTATTGAATTTTTTTAAAAAATCATTTTTTCATTTGCTGTACCTCGATGATGGATATTTAGGTTGCTTCTAATTCCTTTTATTAATGATGCTGAGCTAAATGTACTTGCAGAAGCCTTTGTGCAACTCCCTGATTATTTCATTATGGAAATTCTTAAAAATGGAAGCAGTCGCTTGAACACACCAGCCTTTCTTAGGGTCTCAGTCTTCAGTTATTTCCAGAAGCTGTTTCCCTTTCCCCACCCTCCAGCTAGCTTTTCTGTTTTTTTTTTTTTCCAATCTACTTAGAATAACTCTTTATATATTAGACACAGCCCTTTGCTATAATGTGACAAAAATGTTTCCATGTACGTTTTATGTGAATTTTGTCTATAATGTTTTCGATTTTATTACCTCATTGCTAGGATGATTTTCCTCTGTGATTTCTTCCATGAATTTATGTTTAGAAATGGATCCTGAGACCAGTTAGATATCTTTTAGGGTTTTAATTTTTTCTCTAGCTATCTCTAACCAAGCTAGAAATGCGCATGGTGTCTGGTGGGAGATAAGGTTCTAACTTGGATGGTTTTCCAAATAGCTGCCTTCCCAATACCGTTGGTTGGAAAACCCACCCCTCCCTTCTGTGGGCTGTGGTACTTGGTTGGTGATGAGCAGGAGTCGGGAGCAGCTGTGGTATTCCTGAAGCCATCTCTCCTTGGCTTGCCTTTTGCTTGTCAAAGACAATGTCAATCCACTTTCAGTGAAGGGGGACACCACATGCTCAGGGGCATCCGGTTACCCTTGACATTGACCAGCTAGTTTATACAGAGCCAGGAGGATGCTTGTTATATCATGAGAGAGAAAGGATGGAGGAGCAGCATTCATCGGTTAAATAGCTGAGGGCTGATGTCACAGAATCCAGAAAGTCCTAAGAGTCCTAAGTCAAAATCAGCCACTTGTTTTAGGAAATGCTCTGAGGTCTGTTGCACCCTGAGTCAGACAGACAAACCAAAATCCTCCAAACTCAGCAAAGACAAATACCCAAAGGGCAACGTGAGCTCCCTTTCCCTTCTGCCGTGGTTTCCAGAGTGCACAGGGCTGTGGTCCTCAAATCACAGGGCTGCACATGTGCTTTAGACCTGCTGGATTTTGAGCCCAAGCAGCTCCCCCTGCAGTCACATAAGACGTTCCATTTGTTTCTGTTGCCTGACCACAGCCACCTTGTAAACCTCTCCATTCTCTGGTTTTAACTCACCGCAGGGCATGACCCCCCTGATGTACGCCTGCGTCCGTGGGGACGAGGCGATGGTTCAGATGCTGCTGGATGCCGGAGCTGACCTGAATGTGGAGGTGAGGGTGCAGAGGACTTCAGGGCCCCCAGAAAACCATGAGAGGGGGGTTTTGCCTTCAGGAGCCATGGCTGTGTGCTCATTTCCACCAACAGATCCCTCCTCGGCCCTGTAGTGATTGTGGTCCCACTGAAACTGCCTGACAGATTCTGTGCGTCCCGAGGCTGCAGCCCAGCCATGCCCCGAGGGGCGTCCTGCATGTATGTTCCATCTGAAAAACCATCGAGGCTGCAAGGAGCAGTGGCCACTGTTGGCTCAGCAGTCCCACACTCCTGCCAATCCATTCCTTCAGGCACGGGGCAGAAACTGTCCGGAGCCGTCAGCCGGTTCCCTCCACCTGATCAGGCCACAGAGGATGCTCTGGCCATTCTCCCAGGCTGAGGCTTCCCTGCTCTGATCCTCTACCCTCCCCACCAAACCCTGATTGGCTCACCTCCGCTGAATTGACAGGTCTTAAAGCTCATCCCAAGGCTTCCTTGAAGCAGTGGGGTACAGCGGCAAGTGTGGTCCCCCACTCCCACAAGCGTTAGAATTTGACAGACTTGAGTTCAAGTTCTGAAATCACCTCCTCCATACTGACCTGCTTTGGAGCTGGGCAAGTGGCGTAACCTCTCTGTCTCCATCTGCAGAGTGGGAGAATAATCACAGCTTTGCAAATGGTTATCAGAAGAAATAAATGTGATCATACCTAGCACAGGTTGGCGACCTCATTGAAGTATTGCTCCATCCCACCCCAACCTTAAAGTAGGGGAAACCCCATTCTTCCCCCCTTTCCTGTGCTTTCTGAAGACCACTCCCCCTGGAAGACAGATAGTGGCAGTCTCAGACACCAGAGAGATTGGCATGCTGCTATCATCTTGCCTTAATTCTGGAAAACCTGTTTGGTCCAAATTTAGATGCCCTTCAGTCTCATTACTATATTTTTTTTAATTAACGAGTATGGTTTTGGATCTTACAAGTTTCACATATGTGGAGATTTGCCATCCCCAGGGTGAGTCCTAAGCACCGTGCAGACACTGGGGGGGCTTTGGGTCCTGGTGGGGTTCTGGGCTGCTCCCCTCCAGCCCATCCCACGAGTCTCGGCTCAGCGTCTTCATCCAGCACAGTGACCTGAAATGCAGGCATCGAGGTTGCGTGGCCCCAGAAGCGCTGGGGATGAGAAGCACATGTGATTGCGAATTGTGCCAGACCCCACTCACAGATTCCCTGCTGTGTCTTGGCCTGGGGTACATTGAGACCCCCATCCCGAAAGATCTGTCTCAGATTGCCCGCTTGCGTTGTGTCCAGGGAAAGCTGCGTGTCCCTGCTTCCAGTAACTCCAGGGTCCCTATCAACTGGAAGCCAGCAAGAGGGTGGAATGAGGAAAGCGTGGGGTGAGCGCGAGCAGTCCGTGAAGCCCCCTCCTTCAGAGGGGTGACGGTCTTCCCTGGAGTGAAAGCTTCGAGTGGACTACGGGGGTGGGGGAGGGGGGTTGCTGCCCCTCTTAAAAGTGCGGATGGAACATAGTGATGCTTCTTTGCTGTCTGACATCCTGCAGCCCTCAGAACATCCCCCCTCAAGCAGAAAGAGGAAAGGGACACTCAAGGGAACTTGCTCATTCAGTAGAGAAGCGTCATTCCTGCTTCCCCAGGGATCAGCAGTCACCCGTTCATTCCCCTCAGAGGAGGAGGGAAGGAGCCCTTTTTGGGCACGGGGGATATAAAGCCACTGAGAAATTTTCTCCCTGCCCCATGGATAAAAATCTCCAAAACAGTTCCCTGACTTCGGGGGGTTGCTCCAGCCTCTATTCCTACAAACACAAGCAGGTTCAATGCCCACTTGGTAGGAGGTGTTTGGGGCATCTGCCAATACCTCCCAGAGCACCCTCCAGGATGTCTTCTTTATCCATCTCTGACCTACATTTAGGTTACAGATAGGTCAGACTTGTTAGCCTAAGTATTGTGAAGATCACATTTTGAAAATAACTTCGATTTGTTTATAGGTTGTCAGTACTCCACATAAATATCCATCCGTCCACCCTGAGACCCGCCATTGGACGGCTCTGACTTTTGCTGTGTTGCATGGACATATTCCTGTAGTTCAGGTATTAATGGATTCCACATCTGACCTTTCTCCTATGTGACGCAAATCTAAACCTCTCCCAGCATGCATATCCCATGAGATTCATATTGGTTAATGGCAATTACCTGCAGTGTATATTTATATCACATGAAAAAAAATATATCATTTGTCTTGATCTGTTTGGCCCAGCTTTAACCAATATGAAGTGACCACGTAACCACACAGCACCTCACACACAAGCGGCAAGCCTGCAGAGTTCTTCCTGGCCGCTCTGGGGTGGGGTCTCGACTGTTGTTTTGTGGATTTGCTCATTTTGTTTGTCATAATGTGAACATGAGATCAGAGGTGTGACTCTGGCGTTTCGTAGAATATAGTGGTTTCCAACCAGTGGAAAGAAGCATCCAGATCACCAAAAGAATGTTTCCAAAGAGCGCTTGCTTGGGTCCCCTCCTTGAGAATCAGGAGGAGGAGGTCTGGAGCAGGGTCTTAGCACATGTGTTCTGAAACAGCCTCAAGTATGGGGACATGCATATAAATAAGCTTTTTATGGCTGTTGAGGAGTTGGTGTTCAATGAATAGAACACCTAGCATGTTCTGGGTTTTCAACTGGGTCTTTACTTTATTGGAAAAGAAAGATCAACTTCCTGGTCAATGACACCTGGCCCCATAGTAAGTACTGAGCTTTGAGGACAGCAGGAACTTGCCTCCTTTAGTGTTGTGGCCCCTGGCTCTGAATTCTGTGCAGAGCAGAGGACAGCGTTGCAGGGACAGCTCAGCAAAGCCGAAGCGTCACAGGATCCCTTTGTTGTTTCCTGGGTCATGAGCATCCTTAGGACAGATCCAAAGTGAGGTTTCAGGAGGCTGGGTGTGTGATGTGTCACCCTGAGAGCTGGCTTCTGCCCACTCCCCTCCTAACAGAGGAACCCAAGAAAGAAGGGGTCAGATGGTGGTCTAGTGGACACAGAAGCCATCCTTTAACAGGCAGCATGAACCTTTAAACCAGGAGTGGAAACATAGGAAGCCAAGCAGATCCTCACAGAATTCAGGCCACCTGTTGAGGCGGCTATAGGTGCAGGCAGCGCTAGCTAGGTAGTCAAAATGGCGCATACCATCCCCACGTTACATCAGTGATGTTAACAGCACCTTCACTGTGAACACAATCCCGCATGGACAGAATCTGCCTCCCTTAAGATATCTTTGGGAATGCCCAGAATGGAGTCATTGAGAGGCATACCTTCTGGAAGCTCACTCTGCCACCTTATAAAACTTAGCATTTCCTAACCTGTCCTGAAGCCCATCTGCGGGGGTTCTCGGAGAGACTCTCATCCTGCTTGATCAAGAATGTCCCCCACATTAGTCAGGACTCCTGAGAGTCTGTGGCTATAAGCGGCCACTCCAGTGTCCTCTGAGGCTCCGAATGAGGGAGTCCCCCCAGCAGTCTGGTGCCAAGGACTCCTGACTTAGTGCTTCCAGAAACTTTAACGTACCTCCAAATTCCCTGGAGATGTTGTTAAAGTGCAGACTCTGGTTCAGTGGGCCTGGGGTGGGCCAGACAGGCAGTCTTTCTAACAAGCCCCCAGGTGAGCTTGACGCTGTTGGGCATGGAGCACTCTGGGTAGCCTAAGGTTCTAGAAGACATGAGAGACCCTCTGCTGGTCCTCTGAAGTACAGTCCTCCGGCCCTGTCTGTGCACAGTCACTGACCCAGAGGGAGGGAAGGAGCCTGGCATCTTACTGGTCTCCACCAGTCTTCAGACGACCCCTCAGGGCACACGTCCTTGAAACATCTCCATGGCCACTCTTCCTGCTCTTCCTCCACAGCTCCTCCTGGATGCTGGGGCCAAAGTGGAAGGCTCGGTGGAGCACGGTGAGGAGAACTACTCAGAGACGCCACTCCAGCTGGCAGCCGCAGTAGGTACGTTGCGCTTCTCACCTGGGCCAGGGGTCTGCACCTCCCTGGCCCTCCATGTGCCTGTGACTCTGTTTTTTTTGCTTTATTCTCTTATGAAACCCCCTTCTCTGGGCTTGCAGGAAATTTTGAGCTGGTTAGTTTGCTGTTGGATCGTGGTGCGGATCCCCTGATAGGAACCATGTACAGGAATGGAATTTCTACAACCCCCCAGGGGGATATGAACTCTTTCAGCCAGGCTGCAGCTCATGGACACAGGTAGGCTAGGACGGGCCAAGGCCTCAAGGTCCCAAGCGGTGCTTGTTAAAAATGCAGATTCCCAGGCCTACCCCAGACCCATTTTATCTTTGGATGTGGAGCCCAGACACAGCGGGAGGTGGTCTAGGCCCCAGGCCTGGCCAGAGTGACCTTTCCTGCCCGGTTTCTGCTAAAAACTGGCTCGTGGTCACATCCACACAGACTGGCTTGCTGTATTCAGTCTCAACCAGCTGCATCCACAGAGACACCTCACTCTTTGCCAGTTTGGGTCAGAGGACATCACGTCAACTGTCACGAAGTGACAACAATCCATATAAAAAGAATAGAACCCCTCTTCTTTGCCTCCTTCTGTTCTCGGTTCCCTTCAGGATTTCCGTCTGATTTTATTATACACGACCCCACGTGAAGCAGAGTCACTGGAGGGAAGGCCGGCGAGCCATCAGGAGGACGGAGTTCTAGAGCCTTCTAGATGTTTCTTAACTCCAAGCTGTCCTCTCAGGAAACAAGGATGGTCATGTCCCATCCCCTCCTCCATCCCCAAAACATCATTCCCTGGTCCAGAGTGAGCGGCCTTCCACTCCCCACCGCGCCTCGGCCCCAGCCACGCCATTTCCATCTCTGAGTGTCTTCCTCTCTGGGTTTATGATTGACAGGAATGTGTTCCGCAAACTGCTCGCTCAGCCAGAGAAGGAGAAGAGCGATATCCTGTCCCTGGAGGAGATTCTGGCCGAGGGCACTGACCTGGCAGAGTCAGCCCCGCCCCCCCTGTGTGCCAGCCGCAACAGCAAGGCCAAACTGAGGGCCCTGAGGGAGGCCATGTATCACAGCGCTGAGCATGGCTACGTGGATGTCACAATTGATATCAGGAGCATAGGTCAGTCGGACACTTCCCACTGCTGGGCACGGCGCTGCGGCCCCACTCTAGGTCTCTCTCCCTCGAGTTCTGTCTCTCTCTGTCTCTCATACACACACACACACACACACACACAGACATACACATACACACACACACCCAGGGGACACAGGAACATCCCCTTCGCTGGTTGAACACTTCCAGTCGAGAGGCCTACATGGTCCCCATAGACAGCAACACCTTGCCTCTCTGAAGACCCATCCTCAGGTCATCCTGCCCTGATTCCCAAACTCTGGACTCGGGGTCAGGAACTCAGATCACCTGGGGAGCTTGTCTGAATGCAGATTGCCAGGCCCGACACCCAGAGGCTCTGCTGTTGAGGGTCTGTTTGGATCAAGGCCGGAAATCTCTATATTTAACAATCACCCCAGGTGGTTCCCAGGGGCTGAGGATAGGCTGCCTTAGGGCCATGAAGTGGCCGGCAGGGCGAGGGCACCCTTTCCTGTCAGGACTTCTTCCACGAAGCTTCAGGGGCTAAGGCCACTCTCAGGGAAGCCGGGGCAGCTCTTCCTAGAGTGAGCCACCCCGAGCCATCTTCTCTGCAGTGGGGAATGAAGCCAGCTTAGCTTTAGGGCCCGTGAGCCCTGAAGGGATCTGACAGTGGGTCCCTAAATGCAAGATGTGGCCTTTCTCACAGCTGAGGGCTGAGGGCAGGTCTCTGGGTGGCCGTCCTGGCCTCTCTCAGGAGGATGGCTATTGGGCATGTGGGACATTTCTGTCTTTGCTCGAGGACCTATTTTGCTCGATTACAAAGCTCAGAGGATCCGGATGGTTGTCCTGTTGTGAACAGGGTGAGACGTGTTCCCCTTCTCTCGTCTCTGCCTCTCCACGAGGGGAAGAAGCAAGTGAAAACAGTCAGCTGCTGGGGGGGGCTGCCATTAAAGGCGGAAGGCCTCCTGATGCAGACGGAAACGTCTCGCCCAGGGGACCTGCAGCGGTGTCCTCCAGCTGTTCTTACGCAGATGTGACTCCCCACCCTGTCCAGTGTGGCAGACAGTGAAGCCACTGGGGGGTTTCGGCAGGTCTCATCTCATCTGGGCGTGGCCGTGTCACCTAATCCAGCACCAGACTGTCCCCTCCCTGCCCCTCTCTCCCAGTAAGTAGCCAGGATGGAGCCTCTGAACTCAGCCCTCAAGTGCACTGGGCACTCCGTGTGTGTGTGTGTGTGTGCGTATGACAATTCCAGTGTCCCACACAACGGTCACGCATTGTGCAGTGCAGCCCTGTGGTGCACATTCGTAGTGCAGAGATCCGAGCTGTGGAAATAAGGCCTTCGGTTTCAATTTTGGCAAGTCCTGGCTCCGTTCGTGGGTTGTCAGCACCTTGGTCTCACGATTGCCCATGTCCTGGGGAAAGGCCGACTTCCAGATAAAAACAGACCTCCTCCTCTGGTTGTCTTCTTCCTCCCCTTCCCCTCCCCCTCCCGCTCCTCTTCCCCTTCCAGGCGTCCCGTGGACTCTGCACACGTGGCTGGAGTCTCTGCGGATCGCTTTCCAGCAGCACCGCAGGCCTCTCATCCAGTGCTTGCTGAAGGAGTTCAAGACCATTCAGGAGGAGGAGTACACGGAGGAGCTGGTGACCCAAGGCCTACCCCTGATGTTTGAGATCTTGAAAGCAAGCAAGGTACGGTGGTGCTTGCCGCAGAGAGCGAGGCCAGATTCCAGATCCCAGGTCTCAGCGGCCCCTTAGCCTGACACTGCCCTTTGGTAGGACGGCTGTGGCCAAGGCCACTTGTGTCACAGGTGCTTCCAGCTGCTGCGCTGCATGTGTGATTGTTTGGGAAGCAGCTGTTTTGCTGAACGTCTGTTACGTCCCAAGGCACCTGGGCCTGTGGGCCAGTGTGATGTCTTCTAACTCAAGGACTTTGCTCTAAAGCTGGGGACGACATCCACAGCTAGGTGCCCCAACAGCATATGGGCAAGTTTGGAAGATGGTTCAATTTGCACAGAGAGGTGTGAGTGTGGCCGGAAGGGGAGGAGGGTGGCTTCCCTAAGGCACTGTCCCGGCACCAGGCCTGCATGGACAACAGGAATCAAGCAGGAAGAGGGCAGTGGGCGCAGCTCCCTGGAAAACAGAGGACAGAACCTGCGGTTTCCAGAAGCCAGGCCCTGGGGGAAGGCCTTCAGGTGGACAGGGCCAGACACCCCCACTCCCAGCAACCACGAAATGCTGTGCCCCCTTCCGCACATCAGTCTTGGGCTATTAGGGAATTCATTCTTAGAAATCTGTCTTGGGTCATGGGTTTGGCAATGCCAGGTAGACACTGCAGTCCATGGCAGGGGGCTGTGTGGCCCTGTCCTGTGTGTTGATGGGAAACGTAAGGGATGAGCAGCCTGGATGCACCGTCCCCCACCAGCCCTCAAGGTCAATGGGCCTGAGGCAAGGCACTGTGATCATGGGAAGCACCAGGGAGGGCCACTCTGCCTACAAGGCTCTGAGGAGTGTGGCGTCAACCATCCCATGCCCCCAGGGCTTATTGGTGAGCACAGGGCCAGTATAGCACAGTGGTTGGGGTCATGGACCCTGGAGCCAAACGTGAGGGGTTCGAATCCCAGCTGTGCTCTTTACTAACCTTCTGACCCTATTCCAGGTACATCTTTCTCTCTGCCTCAGTTTCCCAATCTGAAAATGGGGACAATATTTGTACAAACCTGCTCAGATAAATGTAAAATGAGTCTATACCCTAGTGCCCTTTGAATCACCCCCAAGTGTCTGTCCCATAAAGATGGGCTCTCCAGGGGAGGCGGCACCTCCAGGATTTCCCAAAAGCTATAAAGGCCAAAATACTGAACACTCCAGTGCAGCCCAGGCCCAGCCAGGATTGAAGGCCAACCTGTGCACAGGCCTGATTTCACCTCCTCCCCCGGGAATGGCAATGCCCTATGAAAATTTCTCTCCATGGAGCCTTGAATATCCTGCTTCACCAAGGGAATGAAGTGTTTCCCAAACTCATCGGACCTCAGAACCCTTTTACAATGAACCGTCTCAAGACACAAATTAGAATTCCTTACGCTAAAATTTATATATTCTGTTGGACGATGTGCCCAGCACTACTCTCGGCATTTTACGAGGATTAACTCATTCAACCCTCATAAGTGACTTTTGAAGGAAATACTCTTCTTATCCCCATTAACAGACAGGGAAACTGAGGCGTGGAGAAGGTCACACAGCTGGACCCAGCTGGAATTGGCCTCTGTCAGTCAACTTCCAGGGCCAGCCCTCTCACCTCTTCACCCCAAAACTGGCTCCGTGGAGCTCTGGGGTCCACAATGGAGCTTATGAAGTCTCCAGGAAAATTGACCTGTGAATGAAGGGGGCATGGGATCCCTCCTGGGCCGGGCTAATGGGCTGTGCGCCCACGGTCTGGAGGGCACGTGGGGCAGGCAGAAGGGGTGTCTCCTCAGTGAGGAAGCAGCAGCCCATCTGCTTCCAGGGCGTCTCTGGGCTCCTGGCCTCGGGTCTAAGCAAGTCCCCTTAGTTCTCATGAGCATCCGTCCTTAGCCCAGCGTCTCTGGGCCCCTGCGGCTGGATCTGTACTTGGTGTCCAGACCCACTGAGTCCCAAATGGGAGCAGGTGCTTCAGCTCTTAGAATAATGAGCCTCCGTGAGTCCTTGAAGAGCAAAACCCGCTGGCGGCATTTCAGGCCCAAACTCCTCCTCCCTCTCCTCCAGCTCAAAAATAAATAAGTGAATCAAAGGGCTTTTGCTGCACTTACCTAAGAACACACTCTGGTGAAAGTGTAGCTGGTCTCTTCCCTTCCTGGGTTCTCTTGGGGGTTTTTTTGCTTGTTTGTTTGCCTTTGCTGTTTTTAACTTTACCTCGGGCTATAGTAGGAATTCCAGAATTTTCTGAGGCATCCTGTGTATTTAGAAAACCCAACCTGTGGGGTTTTAAAGGAAAGTTCACTTTGAGGTATGACAGCCCACACAAACGTTCCCAGGCGGTACCTACAGAGCCTAGTGGGTCTTCACAAGGTGAACACGCTGTCATCAGAAGCCAGACCAAGAAGCAGAGCTCGCCTAGCGTCCTGCAGCCCTTCACCCCCACCCAGCCATGTCCTGACTGCCAGCACCCACCGTACTACTTCATTTTGCCTGGAACCAGGCTTGTTTGACCAGGAAAACTCATTAGATAGGAAATAGTTCTCAAGAAGTATTTGAGATGCGTATGAGAATCTGGAGCCTGGGACAGAGACTACCCTCAGCTCATGAGTGGTGATGCCCTATCACCTATAGCCCTTGAAAATCAGACTGCATTTTTTTTTCCTGCAGAGATAATTCTAGAACAATGGTCAGAGGTCCAGGTCAGCCCCTGTGCCATTCAGGGTGTAACTGGAATTGTCCCCATGGAGAACATGAGGCTACCTGAATTTCTACTGGTGTGTAGAGGTTGGGAGCCCCAAGGGGGCATATGTGTGTAGGACCAGAGGGTCCAGGGATCTCTTGATAACAATTCAGCATCTGACAGTAGGAAGTAGGGTGGGTCATGCAGTGGAAAGAGGTGAGGGGTCGCCAGTAGCTTTGACAGCAACAGCTGGAACACAGGAAGAAGGAATGGCCTTTGCCAGACGGGGATCAGAGCCTGCTCCTTGGCAGCTATACTGGTGTCTCAGACTGGAGGAGCCAGAGGTGGGGCACCAGGGTCCCTCCAGGAGGAATGGCACTTTGGGGTGGGGATGGTCCATGGCACCCCTGCTGGTGAAACGTGGTATTACACATCACACCCCAGGCGGACACTCCTTCCCTGTCCACCTGTTCTGCCTGAGTTCTGATGGAATGGTTTGCTTTTCACTGTTGAACTTGGAGAGTTCTTTACATAGCCGAGGTCCTAGCCCTTTGTCAGCTCTCCGGCCTGCACATATTTCCTCCCACCTGTATGCAGCTCCTCTTTCCTCCTGTGGTCCAGGTGGGCACCGATGGATTATCTTCATTCAACCACTTGGACACCTTCCCGGTCCTGGATGTTATGGGTGATTTTCAATGAAAACCAGGGCGTTTGCTGAGATGCTGGATCTTCTGTAGAGCTTCTGCTCTTGCTGGCTTCCTGACACTGCTCTGCAGGGAACAGTGGCTGCCAGGTGCAGGTAGAAATCCAGGTCCCACTCTCAGCCTCTGTGACACCCAAGGAAGAAGCTTTTTATTGGTGGGGAGGGCATTCTTGCTCCCCACGCGGTCTCTTCTGATACACCCCAACAGGAAGTGGGAGGGTTGCCTCCTTACTGCCAGGTGGGAGTGGAGTCCATGCTTCCCCCGTCCCTCCATGACACCAGCTCAGTAGAGGTTTGGAGGTGCCTCCTTGTAGCCTGGTGAGCATGGACCTCTGGGCTCCTCCTTGACTTCTGTTGGAACCCTGGTTTTTCCTGTTGTGTCTGGCAAGAGTTGAGCAGCTGCCCTCTAGAAGTTTCCTGTCTGGGCAGGTGGCCCCTTTGGGTAGGCTTTGGTTGAGGCTTTCTTGTTCTGTGCCCATTGGCATTTCTCAGTGGCCACTTCTTCAACATCAAGAATAGGACCTCTGCGGCAAAAAGGAATTCTGGGGACCTCGTGATTGTGTTACCCCCTCCAGTCCCAAGATCCCTAGCTGGTCTTCCTTCTTCCCTCCACTTCTGAGTCTTAGGATTCTTTTCATATATAACATCCAGGGGTTTCAGTTTTACTTGTGTCTTAGTTCTGTTTTCTGTTGCTATAACAGAATGCCTGAGACAGGATAATTTACAAAGGAAAGAGGCTTATTTTGAATCACAGTTCTGCTTCAACTCCGTTCTAGGCACTGCTTTCTCACCCACTCCTCAAAAGGGACCCTGTGAGGAATCTGGGTTTATTATGATGATCCCTATTTCAGAAGTCACAGACCTGGGGCTCGGCAGGAGCACCCACCCAGCAGAGCCAGGATCCTGACTCAGGCAGCCTGGCCCCAAAGCTCATGCTGTCCACCGAGAGCTCACCCCTTTGCTCCCTTTTGGGGTTTTGTGTGCAGTGCACACAGCTCACTGTGGAATGACAGCTTCATCCTTTTCGGTAACAAAAGCAGGCACTGGTGTGCAGCCATGGAAACTGGTCATCCCAAGGTCATTTCAAGTCTGCTGAAGCCACAGACCCAGGAAGTCTGCATTGGAAAGAGCCTTGGAGACCCTCTAGCCGAGGCGTCCCCAGACCAGTCATCTGCACCCCGCTGTCAGGACTTTGCCCAGCACTGGACAAAATACTATAGGAAGCCCTAAGTAGATGAGATTATCACCCCATTGATGATTGACGTGGTCTTTTAAACTAGATCAGCTTGCTTTCCCTGAAATGCCTTTTAAAAGGAAACATTATATTAGTACTGCAAATAGAAAGCTTTCCTCACCTGCCCTGAACAGAAGGTGCCTATCAAAGTAAATGTGCCTCTGCCCCCCTGCAGGGGCTCCGGTGGCGCCCTGGGGCTCGCTGCCTCCTGCTCTTTCCCAGGTGTGCAGCAGGGGTGGGCACTGTGCCAAAGGTAGACTGGTGTGTGTCTGCAGGATGAATCGCTGTCAGTGTCCCCACAAAGTAGCCGTCACTGCACACTCCCTTGATTCTGAAACACGGCCCTTTTCACATTTTAGCATTTCTCAATTTGAACTGGGTCTTTCAATGGATGTGTATAT